TCGCCAGCGAAGATACTTTCCCCGGAAACAACAGATGAGATCCTCGCTTACATGACGGAAACCCTCTCGATATCGCACCAGGCTCCGTACTCATTGCAGGGCCTACGTCAAATAGTCAAGTCAAACCCGCCGATGCTCCGAGAATTTGTCGCCAGTCCTCAAGGCTCCGGCCTTCTGCAAGGCCTACTTCTCGCCTCGGAGTCTCCAGATGATGAAGTGGCACAGGGCGCCAAAGCCGTCAATGCTTCCATTCAGACAATACTATCATCCGGATCTGATTCCAAGCAATCTATCTACAATCTCATTCAGCAAGGGCTGCGAGACGCGACGCCCACATCGGTCTCGGTCGAGACTCTGGTTGACTTGGCAAAGCAGTCTGTCAAAGCTGGTAGTGACTGGGATGAGACTGCTAAAGTGTTCCCAAGCATCGACGACTGGAATGCATCTCTAGAGCCATTCCTCAATGCTGTACCGAAGTCATCTGTGGCTATCACAAATCCCCTTGGTGGCGCCGTATATCTTGTGAAGGATGGACAAATGCCCTCCACGATCAGAACCATGTCCCGAGACGCCGACGGCTACTCTCCTGCATACAGAATCACGCAATACGTGGCGAGGCTTTTCAAGAACCCCGACTATTTCACCATGGACAAGCTTCCTTCTGAACTTCGGGCTGCCTATCTCCGCAACATTGCGATCGCTGTACAACTTGCAGATGATAATCTTGGCCTCGCTGGCGCGAACGGTTTCTGGGCGCACTACAACTCAGACGTTGAAGCCGAGGCCATGACCTTCATCACGGATGCTCAAACTCTTGTGACGCACGAACTAAAGAGCCTTGCTGCGACGTGGTCGAAGGATTACGTCGACACTACGCTGTTGTCCTGGGCCAACACACTCTTGGGGAGCATAGACGCCAGCGCGACATCTCCAGCTTACTATCACGCACGAGCGTACGCTGTCATAATCGCTGATGCCATTGAGATCGCTGGTTGGAAGAATTCACAGACTGCTCAACTTCAGGAAACGCTCAAAACGACGCGGAGTTCAAAGAACGCCCTCCAGCTTCTTGCGTTGCTGAACGCCTTCAAGGAGCCACTGTCATATGCAAAGGCTTGTGAGCGCATGTGTAATGAGGTCATCGCCGATCTGACAGGTATCGATGCCCTGCAAAAGTCGCAAGAGGCACTACAGCAGCTTGTTCTATTGAACAGTGTTATGGGTCAGGAGGGGATCTTGGAAAGCATCGCCGGTCCTCGTCTTATGCGGTTTGTTCAGCATGTGGTACCGTGGCTGCAAGAAGACGCACTCTCGCGTCCTGTCAAGGCCGAACTGTGTCGCGCGTTGACAGTATTGCTTCCATTGGTCGGCGATATGTACGGCGAGCACTGGGCTGGCATCTTGGGTGCACTTGCCGGAATCTGGGCGACCACGAAAGAGCTGGAGTCAAACGAGTCCGGCATGGATAGCCCGATTCCTCTCGTGCACGCATCCCTAAAACTATACGCACAGCTCCGAACCTTGACGCAAGCCGAAGAGCCCAACGACGATCTTCTCGAAGCTTGGAAAGAAAATGAGCAACCAGTTGCTGATGGGCTTATCAATATCTTGAAGCATTCGCAGCACTTTCCGGATGAGTTCCATCAACCACTCAAGATGGTTAATGATGTGCTGGCGCGCCAGATTTCCAAGGTGTCGCTCAAGCATCTGGAGTCCACTGAAGAACTTTTCCCTCTTCTTTACGTGGAGTCGCAACCTGTTCAGCAAACTGCCTTCGACATCCTGCATAAGCAAATTCCCGCAGCTCAAGAGCAGATATCTATCGATGCGGCATTGGAGAAGACTACCGCGCGTTTACCCGAGGAGTTGCTATCTCTGATCATCGACGCGCCTACGGTTGCAGCGATTGCTGACGCTAACTTTGAACGCAGTGTGCCGTTGCCGTTGCGCGGTTACCTATTGAGCTGGTTGCTGGTATTCGATCACCTGGAACATGCATCGTTCAAGGTCAAGAACGACTACGTTGAGCACATCAGAGAAGGTGAATACCTTCCAGGTTTGCTCGATTTCATGTTCGACTTCCTTGGCCACGCGCACAACAAGCCGGTCGACGTCTCCAAACTTGACATCACGACATACGAAGCAGATGTTGAGCCTCCAAAGCGCGATCTGCAGTGGCTACTCACGCACTTGTACTTCTTGTGTCTGCGCGACGTTCCATCTCTGACAAAGACTTGGTTCAAGAGCTGCAAGTCGCGCGCCATAGTCGTCGCGCTCGAGCCTTGGACGGAGAAGTACGTGTCACCACCTGTGATTGTGGCCGCCCTCAACGCAGTCAACACATGGTCAGAGGAACAGGCCGCATGTGAGCCCGATTCAGCATTTGCGGTCAAGGTCGTCAACCGCGCACGCGAGATCACTGCGTCCTACGTTGTCGACGAACAGACCATGGCGATGAGGATCTCTCTGCCTGCCGCATTCCCTCTCGCAAATGCCCATATCGAAGGCCTGAATCGCGTTGCCGTCAACGAACAGAAGTGGCAATCATGGCTGAGGACTTCGCTGGGAGCTATTACAATCTTCAACGGTAGCCTCATCGACGCGCTGACCACGTTCAAGAGGAACGTCGATGGAGCGCTCAAGGGCCAGATCGAATGTGCGATCTGCTATAGTATAGTCGGATCCGATCGCAAGTTGCCTGACAAGAAGTGTCACACTTGCAAGAACTTGTTCCACGGCGTTTGTCTGTTTAAGTGGTTCAAGAGTAGTGATGCCTCGAGCTGTCCACTCTGCAGAACTAGCTTCAACTATGCATAGACTAGAGGCATCGATCACGTGCGGTAGACGACAACATCGTTCGTAAAAGGTGGATACTAAAAATATATCAATTCTCTGAGTCAGTTTCCATGATATAAGGTGTTGGTGTTCCGGCGCATAGCTGGACCTCGGCTGTACCTGAATCTACCCCACATCAACGCTACAGTATACCGAGCTGAAGCTGACCAGTCGCCCAAGCTTACTCATGGTTTGCATCTGTAGACTAACTCATCTTTATCCATTCTTCTGTACTGCAGTTTAACAACTAGCCGTCATCTACAACCCAACCTCCGACCACCATGGCGCCAGCCGCCCCCACCCTAGAGTTCAACTACGACATCTCCTGCCCCTTCGCCTACATAGCCTCGACCCGCGTTCAATCCCTTGCCCAACACACGCACGCAACTTTAATCTACAAACCCGTCCTCCTAGGCGCCATCTACCGTGCAACATCCGCGCCCCAAGGCGCCGGCGGCTCCGCCTCTGATGTCTTCAACTCCGCCAAAAAAGCCGTTACAGCACAGGGTATGCAACGTACACTCCGCAGATACAACATCAGATACAATCCACCGCCCCAGCACCCCCGCAAAACAGTCAATGCACTACGTTTGTTGTACTGTGTGAAGGACCAGGAAAAGAGGAGGCTGCTTACGGATAGGTTATTCCAAGCCTACTGGGTAGACGGCCAAGATGTGAACTCCAACACGACGCTTCTACAAATTGCGAGGCAGTGTGGGGTGGAAGGGTTGGGAGAAGAGTGTTTTGCTGATGTGAATGCGAGGAAAGAGTTGGAAAAGAGCACTGAAGAAGCGATCCAGAGAGGTGCGTTTGGTGTTCCTGGGTTTTGGATCCCGGATGCGGTTTGGACGGGGGTTGATGGCGAGGAGAAGAAAGGGAGATTCTTTTGGGGACAGGATCGTATGCATTTTGTTGAGGCGACGTTAATTGCTCTTTCGTCTTCTTCTTCTTCTTCAGCTGGGAAAGCGTGGAGTGGTGTCCCTGGACTCAAGAGTTTGATGCCTCGTTGCATCCCTAGGAACACGCCTCACGGTCGTGTCAAGGTGGAGTTTTGGTTCGATTTCAGCAGTCCGTGGGCGTTTCTGGGGTACACACAACTGGACAGACTGAAGAGTAACTTTGGTTCGGGACTGGAGGTTGTCATGAAGCCATTCCTGCTGGGTATTCTGTTTAGAGAGATCGGCGCGCCGAATCTACCAGGGTCGGCGGTTAGTCCTGCAAAGGCGAAGTGGTCGAGACAAGATCACGCGGACTGGACGGAGTACTGGAATGCTGTTAGTGCGCAGGATGGTGGTCGGCAGGTTAAGTTTCATTGGGCCGATACGTTTCCCATTCGGACGCCGACTGTGTTGAGGGTTGCTATCGTAGAGCCGGAGACGACGAAGTTATTGTGTAAGTCGCACTTTGGCCCTTTCTCGGTACATTCTACACATGTCATGCAGCATGCTGATCAGGCACAGTCGAAGCATGCTGGTCCCACAACCAGAACGTGTCCGACGACTCCGTACTCCGCGCTGTTCTTGACGAAGGCGGTTTCGATGGTGTGAACCTCATCGCGCGTGCGAACGAGCCCGAGGTAAAAGCCAAACTACGAGCTTTGACTGCGGAGGCTAAGGACTTGGGTCTTTGCGGCGTACCTACGTATCGTGTGCTGAGACAGACGGATGGTGGAGAGTGGAAAGCAGTTGGCGGGTTGGTGTGGGGACAGGACGAGATCAATGTTGTGGAGGACGTGATTGCTGGGTGGAATCCTGAGAGCTCAAGTGAGGTTGCTGAGGTGGCAAAGGGAGAAAAGGGCGCAAGTGCGAAGTTGTGAACGCGGCATATTGGCTATCCCGGGGAAGCGAGAGTATCGCAACCTTGACAGCTTACTGGCATGATTCATGGCTCACAAGACATCAATGCACGGAGAGATCTGTTTGTGGACAAGTTGGTGACGATCAAATTATCGCAGTGTACCATGATTCATAAGCTAGGTACACACGCATGTCGTTGAGAAAAAGCAAGCCATTACGCCATAACCATGCGCCTTTCCTGGGTATCAAAAGTGGAAGTGTATCTATCTTTCCGGGGTATTCGTTCGTTTCTCGTGTTGAGTTGTAGGGTATGCGCCGTAATATACGCTCAGAAGCATTCGCAATGTGGAAGTGGAAGGATCGACAAGCTCACACCGACAAGTCAATGTCACCGTAGGCACGGCGCTTCCTCCTCTTGCTCGCAAGTTGGGGGCTCCAGATGCCACTGAAGAGGTCCTCGCATTCGTCTTCGTCCTGCGAATCGAACTCGATGTCACCTTCCTTCTCCAGCACCATGCCGTTGTCTTCCTCTTCTACGCTCTCGTCCCATTCCGCGCCTTTGACGACTCTCTTCGTCTCCAGTATGAATTTGCCAACCTTGTACTTCTGAGTCTCTTCAGCAGCATCGACGTACTTCCATCCTAACACGGTACCACAGCTGCGACAGCTGATATCGGAAACGGTATGCGCACCCGTGACGAGCTGACGAGCGTGGGCTTTGTGCGTCAAAGTGTTCGGTAGGTCGCCCGCCTTCCAGCCTGTCGCTGACATGTCACCGCCAGCAAACGCGCTGGATGCCGATGGAGGTCCTACAAGGTATGCGCGACCATGACGCCCAGTGAACCCTTTGCTTATGATAGCCGACGTGGGGATGAGGTCGGCTAGGCACTTCTGACAGCGCAGATGTGAGTTCGGTTGGGCCGTCAAGAAAGAGGTCGGCTGGGGCGGAGAGGAGGACGGAGATGCGGAGGTGGTCGAGGTGCTGATGGCAGAGCTTCGGCGGCGGCGGAAGGGAAGACTAGGGAAGAGGTAGAGAGGGAATGGTTGCGTTGGTGAGCTCGGCATGGTGTACTACAGAGGGTCGATCGGAATATTAGTGGTGGTATAGTGATACGACTGTCGCTTGGCGCTATGGGACGAAAGATTCTTCGAGGCTTTCGGACGGCTAATCTATGAGGTCTCGCTTCTTGCTGCTTGGTGGAGATCGTGACGTGAGGATGGTGTAGTTGTGCCGCCTGATGGACGTCTGGCCGGTGTTGGCTCGGGTAGGGTGAAAGAAGTGACTACGCGTTGGGCGAGTGAAAGGAGACGAGGCTCTTTGTCCTCAAGCTCGAGATACGTAAGACGCTCCTAGGGGAGGCTGCCCACCCTTTGAGGCGTGTCGACGCGAAGGAGCAGATGACGCGCCGAAGACGGATGCGGAAATGTCGCGATAAGCGATAACGGGCGCCACAGCCGAGGAGGCGGGGTGGCGGGGCAAAACAGATGTCGCACCTCAGGCTCTCGACATCGACAGGGCAGACAAACTGATGCGTTCAAACTCTTAGATTTCGTATTTAGCAGACAGTGTAAGTGCTAGCGACAATATATAGAGTGACCATGGCGGTGAGTATCACGTTCTTGCGATCATCATCCGGCGAAGGGTGCAGCCAATACTTATGCGACACCAGATCATGCGACCCTCAAACCCGGGCGTGTCGTCACGAGGTGCGCTGGCGCTCTCCGATTGTGCCCGGGCAGTACTTCCACTACATTTGGTCTATTGCATCCTTGCAGTATCCTTGCCATAATTTACAGATACTGGTATCTTGTTTGGCCGGCACTTGCCTAATCACCATCAGACGCACCGTTGGTCTCGTCATGATGGCTGTATTCCATCGACGCCTCATGACCATCTACCATATAGCGACCAGCATGCCTCATGCTACGATTCCATCGTTCCCATACGGTTTCAAGCTTTGCCCAGGTGGTACCAAGATGTCGACGATTATCGACGTACGTGGGACTCGGTACAGCTTCCCAGCTTCGTAAGCGCGATTACCATGATCAACATGTTTCCTGGCCTGTACCTGGGCTTCGGAACTTTCTGAACAGGTTTGAAACCACCAAGCTGCAAGCACCGAACAATCGCGAACTCAAAATGCAGTGTGTAGCTGGTGAAGACCATGCGACCTAAAGCCAAGCCATCGTCCCGTTGAGGAGCAGTACTCGATGCAAGACAGGACACCAAAACTGCTGATAGCGGCTGTCGGAGTTGCTACGTTCACCTGTTCTTATTTCTGCGCTGGAGCCTGATGCGTTTGCTCCTTTTTTCCACACGTTGAGACGATGCGTCGGCTTGCCAGTCTCGTGTTGGGCTGTCATACGAAGACGTGCACCTATCTTGATCAATACTCGTTTTATGAGAGTTGCCCCAAGGTTTGCACAGTAGCCTACGATGATGGCAACATGACTTGGCGATGGAGTGTTATACCAGAGTGTTCACATGAAATTTTGCATACCACAGAGGCTGTTTTGCTACATCAGCTCGATAACTATGTGGTTTCATCCTTCCACTCACAAGTTGGTATTTCTTTGACGGTTTCTTTCATGTTTCGACCATCTTACGGTACCATCAAACCACAAGTTTGCTATATCGCTGACTGCTCGATCAACAAACGGTACAGAATAGCAATCCACACCCTATACATCTGCCCCGTTCACGCGCTTCAGTCAATCTGTCGTGCTGGACCAACAGTCGACGAACACGATGGATCTCGCCGCGCAGAAAGACTTCGAAGAACATATCGCACTGTTGCGGCGTTCAGCATTGGCCATCAATCGGGTACTGTTCAAAGTCTTACAGCACGTTGGACTGCAACTTTTCGATCTTGACTCAGTACACACAGCAGAAGCTCAACCGTTGCTCACGTTCGTGGTTAGTAAGTTCCCGAAGCCAAATGAACGCAATGCATGTACTGACTTTGTACACCCGTATACAGGCTAATTATGTCTCCTTAGACAATCTAGATCGAGGAGTAGCGTCTAATTTGTCATCTGAAGTGAGAACGGAGATCGTTTCTCTCTCCGACGCATGGCCAGTATCAAAATTGGAAAGAACCAGAGACTACTATCAAGCCTATACTGCAGACGCAGCACTGTTCGCTCGAACATTAGCGTATCGCGCCGAAGGTCAGCCCTTTTTCAGGCTCATTGACAACGTTCGTTTCAGTCTAGACCTTGACACATTCAAGGAGTCTATCGCAAATCCCTACCTCGCGGCTCGAATGCTATGGATAAAGCAACGTCAAGCTGAAGGCCAAAAGCTGTATCCAACCGAAGGCCATTCCTATAAGCTTATATTGGAGTATGAAACTTTACACAAGGGCCTGAGCGGTCGAATACAAAAAGAGTACCTCGATGAAAAATACATTCGAAGCTATACGTCTTTGGAGTGGGACCGTTTCATCAGTATGGTTTCATACTTGACCTGCTGTCGGTACAAGCAAGCAGAGTTCATCGGTGAGTTAGATGCGGTGCTTGATGAGCGAAGCGTTGCTCTCAGCGAAACTTCTTCTTATGACGGGAACGACAGCGAGGCCACAGAAGGCGAAAACAATCTTGGTGCCGACGAAGACAACGACGATATGGAGGACACTGTACCGTCCGACTCCCAAGGTAACGACTCTGACTCCGACACGAGGAGGGAAGTCCCACCTAGTAAACGATCACCAATCTACCCAGCGGTATCGGAATTCACCACGCCGTGTACCCAAGAGGCAATGGCAGCGAGTGATGCGGCCGATCGCCGCTGCTATGCCTGTTATTACGACTACGGGGTGTCTTTCTCGCATTCGAACAAAACCGAGCCAGCTGTCCGTACTCCCTGCGGCCACGTTCACGGTACTATCTGTCTCGAGGATCATCTGAAGACAGGCAAAGCCACTTGTCCCGTATGTCGTGAGAGACTGTTCGGTTTTGACCAGCGCCTTGATTTCCATGAAAGCGGCATGTATGTTCGTCTGGTGCAGGCTATAGATGGCATCGCCAAGCTAGATCCGGCTATCGATCGCTATCTGTTGGAGGGTCAGAAAGAGACACACAACTTCGACTTTGCGAAACTTCTCAAAGACCTCTTCAGTCTCTGTTCGCGTGTTATCCTTTGTCGGTCTGAATTGCGAAAAGCGATTCCTATTGAAATGTCATTGGAAGAGGTGTAAATTGGCTTATGGAAGACGTTGGGTTATAACGAGTTGTACGTGAGACCGACGTGTCTTCTGGATGATATATCGTAAGTCAGCAACGGTAATAATCTACATAGAGTATGTAAGACCGTTTAAATATAGTTTGCAGGAGACCACGGTTCGCTTGCGAGCCAGGAGTCAGGTTTCCATGACCTCATAACTACACACATTGCGACCATTCACCCTAACCCTCCTCTTTATAGTCTCACCAGAACATTCATCATACCGAAACAATAACAAATGTGTCTCATAGGAAGTGAGACTCTTATGATTACGGATTAGAGGAATCTAATTCATTGTAGGGTAGATTCATTACAAAGCACATGCTGAATGATCCGCACCATTGCGCACTCTCGTCCTAGTTTCCTAGAAATCGCAGAGCGTCCCGAATCTTTTGCCTAACCGACCCGTTCCTCTCTGTGCTTGTTCTCGCCAGAGTGCTGAGCGGGCTTCCATCACAGCAATACGCTCGTTCATCGCCATGACTCTGACTTGCGCATCGGCAAGCACGTCTGGCTCGATTTCTGTTAAGGCATCAGTCTGTACAGTGATAGCCAAGTGACGGCTGCCCCACATGATCCCATCCAAGAAATCCCGGATGAGCACACCTGATCGTCTCAGTGTACCCGTGGAATAGTAAAAAAGCCTGTCGTCGTCTATCTGGTCGACTGCTACCGAAAGCCGGAGACCCGAAGGTTGAATGCCAATGTCATGTTGCAACCCAGATTTTGCACACATCGAGTCCAAGTCTTCCAGCCGTTCTGCGAGGTCCATGACATTTTGAAACACCTGATATCTGGGTTCGATGCCTTCCCACCAATCCGTGATTGGACTTCTGAGTCTTGTGAAAACCGTCGAGTTGTATCCGTCGATATATAAAAATGGGATATCTTTTAAAAATCGAAGCAACGGGTGCAAGTTATTCCACTGGAAACAGAGGTGAAACGTGTGGCAATTGCCGCAACGGAAGGGCTCCATTATGGTCATTATGGTATTGCGGTCATGTTTCCGATAATCAAAATGAGCAGTCATCCAGAATGCGGTTTGGTAGAAATCCAATTTCTGGAGCCAACCACTTTGATTGTCGAAGGTCTTGCCATCTGCCGTATCATCAGGTCCGACCAATGATTCCAAGCGTTGCTCAAATTCATGACCAATTTTGAGGACTAGCTCTCCAAACGGCGGCCCGTCGAAGGAAATTGCTGCGGCCATTGCCTGGTTTAGAGGCTTGAAGTGCGGATTATCTCCCAGCTTCACAGGTGTGGCGCGCTTGTAAAGAGCTGGCTGTAGCTCGCTTAGGTTTCTGACACAGTCGCGCCATCTTCTGCAAACCTGCTTTACATGCAGTAGATCGAATATACTGAGATGTATGAAGATCGCGCCTAGAAGTTCAGGTGTTGCCGTAACTTGCTGTGCAGCCGAGCGCGACTCGACGTTAGGGTATACCATGGTGAGGACGGAGTCGGTGAAGAAGGAACAATGGTGACAGTTGAGGTAAGCGACGGTTTTTACGCAGCGGGTAAACACCTTACACGTGATACTAACGAAGGGTTGGAAACTCGCTTGTAATACATGTCGACTAGAGCTTAGTCAGATGTTGGATAAAGCAATTGACCCACTATACTCGCCAGATGAGATAGGCAGTCACATACCAGCTAACAAGCTTTAGGTCACGAATCGGCCATGGTCAGGTCAAGCGAAGTCTGGAGTGTGCATCTCTCGGCCTCATGCTCAGCCAACAGACTGAACGACATGTCACAAGTCTCTGACAATTTATTGCACGACACCAGGGAAATTATGATGAGCGCACGTCGTAGTGTATGGGATGTCGAGAGGGAGTTGCGGTGGTTGCCCAGGTCAAAGTCCGTCCCGTTTGAGCTAACCTAAAAAGCGCTAGTGCCAGGTTCAGGAGGCAGCTACGTCACCACTGCCGCCAAGCAGCCTCATGCAACACCACCTGGGCATTTGTGGCCCATTCTCGCGTGCGATTACCACGAGCAGCAATCGCACTGATCCTCCTCTAGGTCGTCGCATGGGCACGGAAACCAACAACGTGTCACACGTTCCACACGATCTTCAAGCATCTTCGGTAGATGCTGCAGGCACTCCTGGCTAACAGCGGGGGAGAAGAGGCTAGGGCGAAGAGTAGGCCGATTTGCTAGCAATGATAGCTACGGATTGGGTCAGATCAGGAAAGGTTTGAAAGAAAGAATACAAGCTGGGTACGCACGGACATCTCAAGAGAGGGCATGACAGTATTTGTATTCGGCTATGTGAGAACAGATTGCGTTTACTCCATACGAAGTAGACGCTCGTGTTTGCCGTTGTGACGCGGATCTCGATATCTCAGTGAAAACGAACTTGGTTTGGCCTCTGGTCTACCGACGCGAACGCTCAAGATTGAAAGAAAGAAGATCATGATCCATGACGCGAGAGTTCTTGCTTCTAGATACAGGGATCAGTCGCTGCGACCTCTGGGCGCATTCTTTACCTCAATCATGAGCTGCTTGGTCTTCATCCAAATAACCTTCCTGCAAGCAGGACAACTCCTCCTGTGCCTCGTCGTACAGCTGGGCGATATAGGCCTTGTCCTCCTTCCATGTCTCAGCATATATTCCACTTATGACATAAGACTCGTTGACAGTCAGTGTCCTAGCGCGACCGCGTGTAAAGGTCAGGTCACAAAATCGCAGAAGAGCGCGTAGCACTTGCCCCAACTTAATGCCATCTTGATCGCGAACAATGGTATTCCCCAGACCCACGGGGTCTGGACCTTCGACGCAAGCCAGAATGAGCCTCGTGCACACGGGCGCCATGAAATAATGTTGAAGAATACCGCGTTGCTTTGCGATTTCGTAGGCGTCACTCACAGCCCTGGCAAACAACGCTAGAACGTACACATTATTGCGGCCAGCCATGCGACCCTCGATTTCGTCCAATGCAGGCCCCATCCGGTAGTCTGCACTTCTGAAATTCCCAAGAGCGAATCGAAAGAGCAGTTCTGAACCATAGCCTCGACCGCAGATTTCGTGGTTGTGTAGGAAGCGGAGAGCTGGATGTAAGCCCGAGGCAGCGTATGGAGGGTGAAGACGCCGGCAACCGTCGCACCTGAACGCATGTTGCTGAGGTGTTAGAATGAAGAAAGTTTGAAGGGAAAACTTGTAGTTAGGTTTCTCGAACGGATGCCATAGACGTTCCCATTGCTGCTCTCGCGCAGCGGCTGCGGTTTCCTCATCCTCGCGTGCCTCGATTGCGTCATAAAAATCCCATTCCATGCGACGAATCCCCTCTAGGGCCCATTCCACCTCCTGGTAGCTCAGCTTGAGAGGATACGTGGACATGATCTGTGGTAAATCTGGGTAATGTGGATCTTCGTCATGTCGAACTGGGATGGGAAGCTGCCACAAGCGGCGTTGGATGCTGGGCGTTCCGTCGACGATGGCCTTTAAGACCTTTGAAGTTGACCGAACATGAATGAGATCGCGAATATCCGGCAAACGGTTCAGGGTGTTTTCCGTGAGCTCTGGTATGGCCAACGCAGTTTGCGCAATTGATTGTTGTGATGTTTCTTCGAGCTGTAGGTCCATAGCCATGGTGTTATGATGTGCTGTAAAGGGGACTTCGGGATTGTTGGATTATTTATTAGAAGCTCTTATTTCGCTCCAAGGATGTTTTAACATGCTAATGAGGAACAGAACTAGGGGCATTTTTCCTTTGAGCTGACAGCAGCCCATCCTGCCCCGACCAGTATTTCACTGTGAATACACACCGCCAAAGGTGAAAGCGCTAGAGTCAAGTGTGCGCATTCCTGAACGAATGTTTATTGCCTACAGTGTATTTTAAAATTGTACAGCGTTGATTGTTCCGTGTCTCTGATCAAAAAGAAGCGAATGATATGACCAGACAGATTTATGTACAAGCGGTAACCGATGAGGCTGCGTAGAGCCATCAATATGTGTCCTGATAAACTCAAGCAGGCTGCGCGAAAGTGCTGCCGATAGGCCCGAACTTGATGTTCGAGAAGACGACTTGCGCGTTCGGATTGGCAGACTCAACATCAGCCGGCACACCGCTGTTGATGTCGCACTCGCCGCGAGCGACACCAGGCTGCTCCGGATCCTTGTCGGTGGGGTAGCTGCTGTCAAGCCAAAGCATATTGGCGTAGTGGTCGTCCCAGAGACTCATGACGAGTACCATGCCCAGGTTCATACCCCTACCCATGGACTCCATGCCGCCGAACTCGTTGAAGGGGTAGACTTCCTCCTGGAAGACTTCCTTCTGCGTGTTGCACCATTCTTGGGTGATCGAGTTGCCTGTCTGCGCGATTGTCAGAAGGGAGTTCATAAGGCTTGGTGACGTGAGCACATACCATGCCAGGGACTGTGGGCTCCGGGTTGGCGATGACTTTGCCGTTCTGCACATAGAAGCGCTTGATCTCGCTGAGCGATCCTCCAGATCCCAAGAACTGTGTGACGACTGTCACCTTCTTTGATGTGTCTACACCAGACTTGCCCTTGCCATAAAAGTCTCTCGCGCCGACACGGTATGGGTTGAAGTCGCAACCATTCGCATCGCAGGAGCCGGCATAGCGATCGAGCGAGTATGTTCCACCACATGTATCGTCTGTGCAGACTGAGTAGCCTTCAGGCTGACAAGAGTGTGGGGTCACAGCCGTGGAGACTGAGTTTGCCTCCCAGATATCCATCTCGGTGCTGAGTTGCGTCAGAATGGGCCAGGCCGAGCAGACTGACGTACTCACCAGCATGCACCATTCCTGCCAATACCCGCATTTGGGTCAGATTCGGATGCTTGCCAACCTTCTGCGTTGGCTTTGCCATCGATGTACTTCAGGTCTCGAGCACATTGAGCGTCACAGTAACCTGGGATGTATCAGTTCATGCTCTATGAATATCGAATCCTGTGACTTACCAGTCCCGTACTTTGCACCGGGTGCACCGTGACCCTTCTGGGGCATGGAAACGAAATACAATGCTCCATTGAGACCGCATGGCAACTGCGAGTTGTCGACGTCGAAGGTGAATTCGTTTCCGATAAGGTTGAACATCTAAACAGCAAATAGGAATGATCAGCGTCTGTGTCATACCTAGATCTGGTGCGCTGCCCTACCTCATAGTTGTTTGCATCTTTCATGAGGTACGTGCGAGAGCCTATGTTGGTGGAGTATTGGTTCTTGGTAACGAACTTGAGAGTAAGAGCATTGCCAGAGGTCGTAATACCGTAGGTACCGCGGTAGTCTGAGCCTTCGATAGCACAGTTCTTGGTACATGCGGCGTTCGTCGCACACGCCGTGGTGTTCCACTCGTTTCCGTCGAAGCAGTTGGTGTAGCCTCCAACGGAATGAAGCCAGCGCCAATTAGCATCAATGACAATCTCTCCGTTAACGTTGGTGCAGCTGTTGCCACCGCTGCCTGTGCAGCGCTGCCAGGTCATCTTTGGGTGAGTTTCGGACTGCTCCGTTCCAATGACCCAGGCGGATGCGCGGGAGGCGCAAACACCCAGAAACACCGCAAGGTTCGAAGTCGACAACATGATGAAAGGGAAGACTGTGAGCTGAATCAAGGATGTGGGATGTCACACAGTCACTGGAGTACATGATGCTGCCAACTTATAGGATTGTTTCACGGCTTCGATCCTGGCCTTGCTTGTGTGCAAAGTACACGATGCATATTGCCCAGTCTCCAGAAGCCCGACAATGAGCTCATGTAATATGAGGAACTGATCATGCGATAATCTTTGACGGATTGATGGACATCTGGTCCGCCTTGGGAGTTGAGAACTCATTGATGGACGCGATCAGGCTGTCACTTCGTCGCACAGCTAAACTCCCAAAATGGTATCCCAGTCATATGCATCTCGGCGTAGTGCGCTTCGTATGGATATTTCAGCGTTGCCAAGTGATTATACTTCGGTATATGAGGTCAAGAGCCGTGGCGCTAAAGGTACAGTGCGGGGTTAGCTTGCGAGCAACGAATTAAAGGTAGTGGTTCAATCCATCGCGAATGTACCGATAGCTAAGCATTCTTGGTGCCTTTCCCCGGACAATTTGTATTCATGGATCTCGCAAGGGCAATTTAAGGATGCACAGATGGCCAGGGTGTATCGTGCATGCTGCAACGCGTAGAAGGCGGGGTCGCGAATGGAGAGTAATCAACTCAATCACCGCGTCGATACAATTGGTGGGGCTGTATGACTACTCGTTGGCATCAAGACCACGGGGTCCTTTGTTACCTGAGATGCTCAGGTGTGTGGCAAGCCTGAGAGAAGTTTCTCTCGCCGTGTGGACATGCAATTCGGAGCCACCAGAGTGCCGCGTCGTCACAGGAGGAAGGGTATAGAGTGCCGAGGGCTTGGGCTCGAATGTTCCATATGAATTTCAGACGAGTTATCGATCACTGTGTCATGTGTTTCGTCCCTTCAAGTCTGCCATATTACATCTGCCAGCTACAATTCAGTACGCGTGACATGAAGGCTCACTGAATTGAGCAGTCTTCCGCGACTTGATCAAGTGTCGGTGTTGCCAGGTATGTCCATCCAAGGTAATCATCGTGACCGAAGGGTATATTCGTAGCGAAAGTCGTGCGACCGGTTCCGAGCATAGACGCAGCATGCTACAGTATGTCCCTGGTGGAGTACGTTGTTCAACCCATCGGGCGAGGGCAGTTGAAGCCCGAGCACGTCTACATCTCCTGCGACTCGAGCTCTGGTGTGTTTGAAGCAAGTGTTCATCTTGTAAGCATCGCACTTGATCGTGGAGAGATGATAGGGGGAATACTGCCGAGATGGCTTATCGTGCGGACGGGTGCGGCGCGTCGGAAGAGCGGGAGACCTGGGATGAACGTGAGTAGGTAGCCGAGAAATTGTATAGGGACTCGCGATTGTTCAGCCAGCAGGCATGTATTCGGATGAATCGCTGCGCGATGTCGTCGGGGTCGTGCTACTATCCTGTCGCGTCTGTTGGTGCCACGGGTGCGGATCTGCGCCTTGGCACCGCGCGCGTCATCGTTCTCACAATCTTCTTTCAACCTCGCAGAGATACACCAAGAATGACCTCTATTCGCGCACAGCAAACATTCCAGAAACGTGAATTTCCAGCTCTGCATGTCAAACAACACCTGCGGAACGCGCCTGGAGATGCTGACGAGATATGAGTAGAAGACCAGGTACTGGAACCTGCCCCAGTATCAACCCATCAACTTCTAATCTACGTCGACATCCGTGTCAGCGTCCATCCGCAGGACAAGGACCAATTCTAATCATGATCAAGCTAAAGTGCGATCAGGCTCATGGCCTTCCGTGTGGCACACAATCTCCAATGGTTGCAACTTGGTAGACATACCATCACCCTCTGCTCGAGCCTGGCATGTCACCACAATTCTTCAAGTGCATATTCACACCTCAAAACCATGCCAGGTCTCCATCCTTCTCCGTTCTCCTCATGCTGATCCCGGCCTCGAATCTTGCCCGGCCGTCTCACGTTTCAATAGCGGACATCGTTATTGGCCGCTCAGCCAGCTTGACCTAACCCAAAGCAGCAGGCACACCATGCATCGCGCCCCTAACGACAATGTCGCGTAGTTTTGTGGATTTTTCCTCGAAACATCGCAGCCCCGAAGGGCTTTAACGACATGGACTGCATATGCACATGGATCAGCGGGAAGTCTAGGTTCAGCCCATTACTTGGAGACATGTTGGGATATAAGACGGCCTCGATGACCATGTTCATGGAGTCAGGCCGCCTTTACTGATATCGACAACGCCCGTCACAAGATGAGAACGTTCACGCAATGCCTCGTATGGGCGAGTGTGATCACACAGTTCGTCGCAGCCCAGAACGCCAACGTCACACTCGTCGCAGCCGCTACTGGATTCGAGGGCGATAATACCAACTTCGTCTACGGCAAATCGCCTTTACTGGTCATCAATGATGGAAGTGCTGCCGACGGTGGCTTCCGGACATTCTCTGTCTTCAACTCCTCAAGCTTTGCGGAGAAGTCGCATCAGAAGACTGGTCGCTCGAAGATTGCTGTTGCTGTTCACGACATCGACGGTAGGGATCTGATCGTCAACATCCCAGCTCCAGATTCTTTGATCAGGGTCTTCGACGCTCAGAGTGGGGAGACGATCGAAAGTAATGACAAGAAGCAGCTGGGCGACTGGAGTACTGCGTGTGTGTGGCGTAGTGGGAAGAGCGGAGAGAGTTACATCTTCCTCTTCGGAAAGAAGATGGTTGTGCAGTTCTTGATTCGGGGCAACAGAAGCCGGGTTGAGATCCTGGAGGTACTGTTGTCTTTTAATCGTGACCAAAGGCAGTAATACTGACAAATATCATAGGTTCAAACTTTTCCCGTTGCTATCGAAGGCGAGACTTGCGCCGTGTTCGCGAATGGCGAGATCTTCTTTTCGGCCGAAGATCGACCATTGTACTCTTTCCAAGCGTCGGAGTCTGTCCAGGCACCCGAGATCAAGACCGTTACTGAGGACATCGAAGTTGCGGGACTTGCTACTCACCACAGCGCATCCGCCGACTATCTGTTCGTAGCCCACGACGAGGTCATCGATGTGTATGACTCCG